CTCCCCTTTTTTTTTTTTTTTTTTTTCCCCGATTTGTTTCGACATTTCGAGATCACTATTTATTTAAAAAAAAAAACGTTTCGCAGGGATTTCTCGCTGCGGGAACAGAACCGACCGCCGGTTTACCCGTCTGTTCCCTTCAGTAATCGATTATGCAACGTTGTAAATGATTTCTGTTCATTTGCTTTCCAAGTCCTTGGTGAAGGCCTGCAAGCACTGACCCGACGTTTATCTATGCATCAAGTATCGCTTACAGATGAAACGGATCATTTCGGACCTCGTTTGCTTGTTTTTTTCGAGCTTTCCTGAGTTTTATTTTACACGCTCTCGTATGGCAATAATGTGTAAATATGTACAGATACCACATACCTTCCCATTATTTTTTTCCTCGGCTAACAGACTTGAACTTGAAGACTTGCTTTTGAGTCTGCGTATGCCACAAGAATGCCTTCTCGACTTCCTTTACCGTTCTTTTGACGCTTTTCCTCATAAGAGATTTGCTTAAGAAGAGAGTTATTTATTTATTTATTCACTCAGCTGCAAGTGTGTTAGCGTTCTGTACACGAGTGAAATACAGCGTCCTCCTCTCTGCCGGAGACGAAGGGCTAGCTGAATGTACAGTATTATCACATCTTAGGGATTTACTGAACTCGAATGTCTCACGGTTAAGGCAGAAGCCCGGTTTGCAGTATTGCCTTAACCTTCATTCAAAACTTGGGAGGATGTTCAGGATGGCGATCTTTTTGGACGGCTCATGCTGTGTCTGTAAAATTGTTTCCTCGTACCTGTGGCCAGAATCCTCCATATTTTATTTTTTTTGGTCTTGACATACTTGAAGGATGTGTATTGATCAATTTAAATACAATATTCTCCAATTCAGTCCTGTAAGTTGTGCAATTCATTTCTTCTGTCCCTACGAGAATTGAAAAGAGCTTTAGGAAATTGTGTTGGTGCAGTAATTTATGTCCAAAGTTTGTATAAAAAAAGTGAATAGCTTAAAATTGAAATTGTAATGTAGTAATGGTTGTCTGCTTCCAGGGCGAAAATGTACATTGAAAAACCTTCCCTTATCTTTGGAATGTTTTATGCTTTATTTTGTTTCATATTCAATCGGTTTTCATTCACTTTCGTGCTTTTTTTGGAGGGGGAAAGTTACTAGTTAAAGTTGTTTTTTGACAAATTTTGATGTAATAAAATTCTAATGTTAAATAGACAATCAAACGGCGATTAATATTGGAAAAGGAAATTTTATCATTCTTAATGTTTGTACATAGACACTGTTCTTGTTTTGTTGGTTTTTATTTTGTATTTTATGTTGTACTTAACTGGCAAACCGTTCCAGAAATAAAGTTCTGGAGATATTATAACTGTGTTGATGAGTTCAATCATAAACTTGATCAAATTTGATGATCTTTATTTGCAGTAACGATGCGTCATAAGACTGTCGTGATTGATTTTTGAAGAGGAAATTGAATTTCTATGATATATATATGTCAGTTTAATTATGTGATCAAAGGAAAAAGGTTTGGTCACATAATTAACTTTTAACACTTTAAACTCAAGAGTTTGGTTTAACTTCCTCTTAAGTTTTTTCGTAAACATCTGATATCAAAAGTTGATTTTATGGCAAGAGGAACAGCAGGTTCATGCGTTTCATTTTTAAATAGTTACTTGTAAATAAACATCTCAGGAAAACTTTAGTTTTCAAAGCAGAATTTCTTTTACAAAAAAACATCAGAACTACTTCACTTTCAGAGACCCTACGGGTAAAAATATTAAAGGAATAGTTCCCCCAAGCGTCATAAGACTGTCGTGATTGATTTTTGAAGAGGAAATTGAATTTCTATGATATATATATGTCAGTTTAATTATGTGATCAAAGGAAAAAGGTTTGGTCACATAATTAACTTTTAACACTTTAAACTCAAGAGTTTGGTTTAACTTCCTCTTAAGTTTTTTCGTAAACATCTGATATCAAAAGTTGATTTTATGGCAAGAGGAACAGCAGGTTCATGCGTTTCATTTTTAAATAGTTACTTGTAAATAAACATCTCAGGAAAACTTTAGTTTTCAAAGCAGAATTTCTTTTACAAAAAAACATCAGAACTACTTCACTTTCAGAGACCCTACGGGTAAAAATATTAAAGGAATAGTTCACCCAGAAATGAAAATTTGCTGTAAATTTACTCATCCACACTCCACCATTAGAACAGATTTGGAGAAATGTATTGCATCACTTGCTCACCAGTGGATCCTCTGCAGTGAATGGGTGCCGTCAGAATGAGAGTCCAAACAGCTGATAATCCACAAGTAATCCACACCACTCCAGTCCATCAGTTAACATCTGGAGAAGACAAAAGCTGAAACACATCCATCATTGAGACGCTTTTTTTTAGCGTCAAACTGTTGCTTCTGGTCAAAATACAAGTCCAATAATCCATAATTTTCATTTTTTGGTGAACTATTCCTTTAAATCTATGAAATGTTAAATAACAGATACAAAACAATTAATTAATGTGCATTTGAGTTCTGATCACTTTCAGAGACATTTTTTTTGTCCTGAGCACTGGTTGCTTTCTGACTCTGGTGCTCACGAAGACAAATTCCTTCATGTTTCTTATTCACTAAATGCTAAAATGAAATAATAATAAAACGAACTGTTAGGCTGGAAACCGACACAATTTTCTCACTCGGCTTTGCTTTAGAAAATAATTTATTTCAAGTTTTATATGTATAATACAAACGCCAACTGTTTTTTTTGTTTTTTTATAAAATCTATTTAATGCACAATTGTGTAGTAGTTGGAGAAGAGCTCTTCACCACAATTAATATCTCTCAGTGACACAAGAACTACACAGCGCAAAGGTCTGAAATAGAAACGGAAAGATGAAATAAGCAAATGTCAGTAATAATGTCCTAATAATAATAAGAGCATATGAAATCTCTCATCTTGCCTTTGAGTGTCAGCTCTGTAGTTTACATTGGGCAGGTACTGACGGAGCTCAAGAGGAAACCCTTCAGGCACGTCATACTCCTGATAGCAGACATTTGCAGCTTTTTCTGTGGATAACAAGCCACTTTATTCTCAGAGGTTTTCCTTTAGAACCAGTGTTGGGGGTAACACATTACAAGTAACGCGAGTTATGTAATCGGATTACTTTTTTCAAGTAACTAGTAGTTATCGGAGTTACTTTTTCAAATAAGTAACGCAAGTTACTTTTTTTTTTCAATTTATTGACAGCTCTGGTTTCCCCATGTTGAGAGAAATCAGACATTACAAGTAACGCGAGTTACGTAATCAGATTACTTTTTTCAAGTAACTAGTTATTGGAGTTACTTTTTCAAATAAGTATAAATAATAAATTTTTTTCAATTTATTGATTGACAGCTCTCCTGTCCCCATGTTGAGAGAAATCAGATGTTACTGTAGTTCTAAAATAAATATGAATATGCATTAATTCATCTCACTCACAAAAAAAAAAAAAAAAAAGATTCAGTATTCCTCAAAATGAATAAAAATAATGCAACTCAGAATATGACGCAAACCTGCAATAATTAAATGTTAAACAACACAAATATCCTTTATGTATTTAATCCCATTCTATTAACCAATGTATTTGCTTCTGACCTTCGAGGATCCAGTTCAACCGTACTAATAAGCAAAAATCACTCTAGACAAACACTTGTGTCTTTTTTTATTGCTGAAGTGTGTTGAAATGTCTTCTTCTGCATTCTACTGTACGGACGTAAATTTACTTTCCCTTCAGCCTGAGGCTTATTCATTTCACTTTTGGTGTGAAAAGGCTTTTATATTTGCCAAAAATAGAACGTTTTTATTTTAAAAACAAACAAGCGAGCCCTGTCCAGATTTAAAAAGTAACGCAAAAGTAACATAACGCATTACTTTCCATAAAAAGTAACTAAGTAACGTAATTAGTTACTTTTTTATGGAGTAACGCAATATTGTAATGCATTACTTTTAAAAGTAACTTTCCCCGACACTGGTTAGAACTGTGGATGGTAAAACTTGTAATGGTCCAACTTGACTGACCATTAGAGCAGTTGTTGACATACTGTCCCACGGCGAGAGGGTTCACGGGGTCAGAGGTCAGCCAGGAGCAGTCACCCAGACAGAAGGGGCCAAATCGGTCCCGTCCGCTACACGATCTGTTCATCAGTCAAGACGTTTGATTTGTGTCTGTATGTTCTGCACCCATAATGCGCTGTGAATGCTGCCGCTCACCGGTACACTATCTTAGAGATCGCTCTGTCGTTGCCATCGATCAAAACGCCGTCGATGCATCGGAATACAAACGGATTTCTGATCGACTGGAAGAAGATGGGCTCATCCGCCTGATAGATGGTTCCTGTGAAAGGAGAACATCACAACAGCATTCTTATGACGAATCAAGAGTATAAACCAACATTAATATTTATGACAGACAGAAGTCAATTAAAAGAGTAAATTACATTTCGATATGAATAACTGAGGAAAACTACAGGACAGTGCTATTAGCCTCACCTTTAATAGCACGAAACTGCATGAGATGTACACATACAATTCCTAATAATTATGTGAAAAGCGCAAAATAAATGTACTATTTATCACCAATATATATTTTTAAAACAGTAATATGAAAATTTGTAATAATAATATTATATTATAATATTATTATTATTACAACTACTACTAATTAATAATAATAATTATTATTATTATGTATTTTTATATATTATTTAATAATAATTATTATTATATTATACTATACTATTATAATA